GTCAGTTTCAGCAGCGGCTGAATCTGGACGCCAGTTCCGACTTACATACAGATTCAACTTAAGAACCAACCTACAGTCCCTATCTTGTACGTAACCCGGGGACTGCCTGTCCCATCATGAATTTCTCAAGCTCTGACATGAGACCTTATCAGCGGTGTCCTGATCCGAAGCAAAGACGCCTTCTCCCGCTCCCTTGCCTCTTTTAAACGTCAAGAGGCTGAATCTGGACGCCAGTTCCGACTTACATACAGATTCAACTTAAGAACCAACCTACAGTCCCTATCTTGTACGTAACCCGGGGACTGCCTGTCCCATCATGAATTTCTCAAGCTCTGACATGAGACCTTATCAGCGGTGTCCTGATCCGAAGCAAAGACGCCTTCTCCCGCTCCCTTGCCTCTTTTAAACGTCAAGATTAACTGTTCTCTGGCAGCCTCGAGACATACGTCTCCAAGCAATACAGCCTCCGCCTTGAGCCTCGGTTGAGTCTTACTTTCCCAGAAAACGGACGGGATTGCCCTTGGGACGGAAGAATCCCAAGCATTGTTACAGGCTGGGGACCAACCAGCTAAGTAGCAGTTCAGCAGAAAAGGACCTGGGGGTGACAGTGGATGAGAAGCTGGAGATGAGTCAACAGGGCGCCCTTGTAGCCAAGAAGGCGAACGGCATATTAGGTTGCGTTAGGAGGAGAATTGCCGGCAGATCCAGAGAAGTGATTTTTCCCCGTTAGTCGGCTCTGGGGAGGCCACATCTGGAGTATTACGTCCAGTTCTGGGCCCCTCGTTACAGAAAGGACGTGGACGCATTGGAGAGGGTCCAACGGAGGGCGACCAAAATGATTCGGGGGCTGGAGCGCATGACCTATGAGGCGAGGCTGAGAGATTTGGGCTTGTTCAGTCTACAGAAGAGAAGAGTGAGGGGGGATTTGAGAGCAGCCGGCAACTCCTTGAAGGGAGGAAGAAGCGAGGCTATTCTCTGTGGCAGAACAAGGAGCGATGGTCTCAAGTTGCAGTGGGAGAGGTCTAGGTTGGAGATGAGGAAGAACGATTTCCCGAGGCGGGCGGGGAAGCCCTGGGATGGGTTCCCTAGGGAGGGGATGGAATCTCCAACCCTAGAGGTTTTGAAGACCCGGCTTGACGCCTCGGGGCAGTTGCTACACTTCAAAGGCGGCGGTGCCCTTATTGGCTTATCGAACAGTCAGCGCAAATCGCTCAACGTTATTGAGCCAAAAAAAAAAAAAAAAGTCGCCTGTCCCTTTAAGGGGAATTGTGTTATTCTCCTTGGAACACCTCCACCTGTTTACGTCTCGGCCGGACAAAGCCCTGGCTGGGTTGATTGAGTTAGGATTGGTCCTGCCTTGGGCAGGGGGCTGGACCTGATGACCTCCTGAGGTCTCTTCCCTCCCTGGGATTGGACAATTAAAACAAGATCACCATTGAGAAAAGTGAGCAGCTCCCGTCTCACTCAAAATGACCCTATGTGCAATCGAGGGCTCTTCCTGTACGCAGCCAGTCTGGTCCCGGGAGCCCAACCCTATTTCTCATTCATTCCAGGTCGACTCCAGGCTCCGCCCCCGCCTCCAGGCTCCACCCCCGCCTCCAGGCTCCGCCCCCACCTCGGTCCTCGGCTGGGCTGCCCCCATGTGCCTCGTTCGATCATTCCCGGTAGTGCGAGGCTGTTTCACTTTGTCCTATGCTCGTGCGCCCCCTTCAGGACGTCTTTGACTCCCCATCCAATGCGGCCAGAGGTGTGAATGAGGCTGATGAGGCCGGAGGTGTGAATGAGGCGGTCTCCCTGCTTCCCGGGGGAGAACATGGCTATTGGAGTGACACCTCCACACAGCCCATCAGAGACCAACGTACCTGGGTCGCCCCCCAGCTCCAGCCGCAGCATCTCTGGGGGAAGGAGAGGACGGGAGAGGTGAGAATTCGGGTTCGTGGGGCTGTGCTCAGTGCTTATGGCAGTCACTGCTCTGAACTAGGAGCTGGGGACACAACCCGAGGGTGGTAACTCAGTCGCTGGCAGGCAGCCCCACGGGTGTTCCCAGGGGGGAGGGCTGCTCCCTCGGCTGGGCTCTGAGATCGCTAGATTCCCGACTCCTCCCGAGGGAGAGCGTCAGACAAACTAGAGGGGACAGACTCCCGAATGCCCCCTCGCCTCCCCCCCAGTCGCCCCCTC